ATCTCTATGACAGAACTAGAGATCTAGATCTAGAGATGTAGATCTCTATGATAGTTCTCTAGAGGTCCCTTCCAACCCCTAACATTCTGTAATTCTATGAACCCCTCAGCTTGGTGCTACCATGGGATGGCACAGCAGCAACAAAATGCTGATCTGAGTTTCAGAGGAGGTTCAGATTCAAAGCCTGGGATCAAATGTTTCTTCCATACCCCAGGAAACCTGTGGCTGGGTCCAATTGCACAGGTACCTCCCAGGCCCAAACCTCTATGAGCAGGGAGGGCCAAATTCCTCCAGCCAGCTGGAGAGGTGAAGCCAAACCCCCACACTCTCCTCCTGCCTTGCCCAAAGTGACAAAAAATAGCTCCAAAAGCCCTACAAAGATGGGTGGTAAGAAGAGAGCAGAGCAGATCCACAGCTGGCACTGCTAGAGAGGTGCTGTCCCCAAGTGGACACAGCAGCAATTCCAGCTCCATCGACGTGCATCTGAGGACATCATCCCAGGACACAGATATGAATGAGCTGTGGTACCCAGGCTGAGAGGGACAGAAAATGCCACACAGGAGCAGGGGGGGAGGGACAGCACGTACTTCAGTGACCACTCCCTTGCCAAACAGGCTGTAAAGTGTGTGCCTGAGAACTCTGCTGTGTTTGGGGCTCTTGCTCTTCGCTCCTAGGAGGGTAGCAAAAGGGCAGTGCCCTGGTAAGACTCAACCTTGTGCTGCCTCACAAAATTGCATGGTCATAAACTTGGGGATGGTGGAGGAAAGGTCTCATGGAAGCCTCTCTTTGGAATGGGAAAATGAGCAGAGGAACAGCTCAGGGATTTTGGAGGACCTGGCCAGTAATCCTGCATTTTCCATAGCCCTGAGGCTCTAGAAGTTTTGTCTTTTGAGACACCTTTACCTTTGAGTCCGTTTGGGCACCAGCATCATTTGCAGAGGCACTTTCTCCCCCAGGAGATTCTGCAGAACAAAACAAGGTCAGAGGAATGGCACTTGCACTGAACAGAGGCCCCTGGCAGCTCTTCTGCAACCTGCTAGTACACAGGCAGCCACAGCTCCACTGGGCAGCCAGGCTCCCCACGCACCCCAGAAGCAGAGGGGGGTTCACCTAACACCCACGAGGTCCCTGGCCTTGGGGACTACCTGGCTTCTCCTTCACCTGGAGTCGGCTGGGAGGCACCTGGGCAGGAGGGAGGGGAATCCCATTGCTGATCTGTAACAGAACGTCAGGAAGGGATGAGCAGGAGGCACCAGAGGCTGGGCAAGGCTGCTGTGCCTGACAGACTGCACAGCCAGTTATAAATGTCTGGGTCTAACCCTGGAGACAGCCAAGGGGACACCTTCTCATTAGGTGGCTGGATGAGGTGGAGCACTCAGGTGATGGTCTCTGAGCTCTCTTGGGTGGCAGGGCTGATGAGAGGTTTGGTGGGACACTCCCTTCACCTCCTGTCCCTTGCAGGGTTTGTGCTGGAGCAGAGGGAGGTTGCTCACACTGGGCAGAGAGCTCTCCCCACCACCCATCCACAAACCCAGCCAAACTTGGGCTGGTGACAGGGAGATATCCACAGAGCAAGATTTTGCTGTCAAGAGGTGTGATGTATATAAAAAAAAATTTGCATTTTTCCTGCTCTTAACTCTTCTGTTGCTCTTGTTCAAGAGCACTTAGTCTTCAGAACTTGGTCTCCACTCAAGGTGTCTTAGTGTTTCACTCTGTTTCTCTTACACTGTTGCTCCATACTGTAATCATCTCACAAATAAATGCCCCAAATCTATCTCCTGGTCCCTTCCTCGCCCCTGGCTGTGAGGATGTCAGCTCACCCCTTTATCCATCCTCGAGGCAGGCTCCAGGAGAGAGCTGGGGATGCGCAGCTTCTGCAGGACACAAAGCAGAGCACGGTGAGCCCCAGCCCCACCCACTGCCCCCCAGGCTGGCTCTGCCCTCACCAGCCCTGCCCCCCAGGCTGCCTCTGCCCTCACCAGCCCCCACCCCAACACAAAGGTGCCCAGGGCGGCACACGGTGGCCCTCAGGAATCGCTGACAACACCCAGGGGTCCTTTTGCACCTCATTCTGCTGAAAGCAGGGCTGCTGACTGAGTGCCTGGGATGTCACAGACCAAACACCCACCAAGCCCAACACCCTGCTCCTAAAGCTGCAGCAAGGATGTCGAGGGGCACGAGTCCAGCAGCATTGCTGTGTCTTCTGACTGCTGGAGAACTACTAACTTCAACTGACCTTTGTGAGTAATTATGCTTTTTCTTAATCCCAGTTTCTATTACTTTACTTTTTTGACTTTGAATTTCATCCAAGCAGTCAACCAGCACATCCAAATGTTTCTGTAACTGTTCATGGTTAGCTCCAGATGCTCCAGGCTGTGCTGAACGGTTTGTCTGTCTGCCATGGAACATGGTCACCTTAAGAAGCACTGTATCACTATCCCTGTTACTGTATCACCTAGAAATATGCTAAATATTCCTAATACCCTTTGAACCTTAGGTTCAGTTTTGGGCCCCTCACTCCAAGCAGGACATTAAGAAGCTTGAGCATGGCCAGCGAAGGGCAACAAAGCTGGGGAAGGGTCTAGAGCCCAAGTCTGGTGAGGAACAGATGAAGGACATGGGGGTGCTGAGCCTGGAGCAAAGGAGGCTCAGGGGAGACCTTCTGGCTCTGCACAGCTCCTGACAGGAGCCTGGAGCCAGATGGGGGTCGGGCTCTGCTCCCATGGAACAAGCGACAGGACAAGAGGAAGTGGGCTGAAGTTATGCCAGGGCAGGTTTAAGTTGGATATCAGGAAAAATCTCCTCCCTGAAAGGGTTGTAAAGCTCCAGCCCAGGCTGTCCAGGGAAGTGGTGGTCCCCATCCTTGGAGGGTGTAGTCATGGTGCTTAGGGACGTCATTTAGCAGTGTATGTGGTAGAGTTAGGTGAATGGTTGGACTTGATGACCTTAAAGGTCTTTTCTAACCTAAGCAATTCTATGATTTATCTGTTTCTATTCAATCTGTTTACACTGTAGTTCCCCAGTCTGCAGGACATTGCCAGATTCACTGCACTTTAATTCCTTAGGTCTCCTCTAGAGCCCTTTACAAAACCTACCTGCACAGCTGAAACCCTCCCAAAGCCCTCCTGAGCAGGAGCAGGACACAGCAGGCAAGGAGCAGCCTGTCTGCTCAGCTCTGTTAGAGCCCTCAGGCGACAAACACTGCTCTAACTGGTGGTCCTTGGTGAGGTCTGTTACCCTACACAGTCCCACAGTAGGATCCAGTATGGTGCAGAGCACAAAAAAAGATGCCTTTGTGGAGCTACAGAGGTGAATGGCACAAGCTGCTGGGAGCCCAGTGTCGGGGAGATCAGTGGTCTGTGGAATGGAGCTCCCCAACTCATCCTCAGCTCCGCAGGGCTACAGGCGGCTCCCCAAGGGCCGTGCTCAGAGGGCTGCAACAAGCTCCTGCTCAGAGGCAGGGCGGTGGTCTCTGCTGGTGGGGACGGGCTGGAGAGCCCCCCCGTTCCCCTCACCTGTCCATCGTGTATGGCTGTGGCCCAGCCATCCTCTCCTCTGGCCAGCACGAAGACCAAAGTGCCAGCTCTCAGCGGCAGCTCCTCCGCGCCCGCGGGGCAGCGAGGGGGCAGGAGGCGGCAGTAGCCCGACTCGCTGTCTCTGCAAAGAGAGGGTGACAGCACCTTTACCAGCCCTGGGGCTCTGCTGCTGGATGGCTTTGGCCCAGAACACTGCACTGAGCCAAACCAGCACATGCCAAAGTTTTGGGTGTTGGGAAATGCCGTCCTCCATTGCTACTCTTTGGTCCAGCTGGGAACAAAGGCACTTGGAAAACACTGATTTCCCAAATGCCCCATTTTCCCTGACTGACAGGCATTCCCCAGATCAAAGCAATTATTCCACTCAGCCCTGAAGCACTGCTAGTACAATATCACCAAAACAAAAAGACTGTCCTGTTTTTTGAACTAAGGCTGAACACACCATGGCTGGGGAGCCTTGTCCTGGGAACTAGGATGGGGCAGCTGAGCATCCTCTGCCATGGACCTGGGCAGGTCCCACAGCTCTCCCTGCTTCCCTTCCCCAGCCATGGTATGATCCATGCCTGTCTCCCAGGACTATTGAATCAACTCCTGCAATTGCCCTAAGATCCATGCATGAGAGATGCCACTGAACCACAGTGCCTTTTGCAGCCACACAAAGCTTTGAATGTTTGGCACTCACTCCACCCATGGTGAGAAGTGGGTGTGGATCCCACACTGTCTACAGACAAAGACATCAGAGAACAAACCAAGACCTTCTGAGCAGAAATAGTGAGAGGAGAGTTAAGACCAAGGTGGGACTGAATACTTACGGCAGAGCATCAGCACTGGGTTCATAGACCTGTTTCTGTGGGAGGAGTAACAACAAACATCTATTTATAACAGTACCTCAAGACAGCAACAGTGCCACCTTATCTACTGCCCCTCTGAACACCAGACTGTGGTATTTTGTCTTTACTTTTGACCATGTTTGTGATACTACAGCACCCAGGTAGAAGTCTGCTGCTCCACACCTTGCCTTTTCCCTCCCCCTTTATCCCATCAGGAGGTGAGTAACAAGATCTTTTCCCCTACCCTTGGTTCTAAGAAACTCACATTACAGTGCAAGGCAGCTGACAAGTTTACTAAAGTGCTGGGCAAATGTGTGTTGAGCACAGTGAAGTTTCCACTGCTGTTTTGACATGGCAAAGAGGAAAAAATGCATCTTCAAAGGCCTGGAGACTCACCCCACTGAGTCCCTTCTAGCCAACGCTGAAGCCCACCACTTGGCTCTGAACAGCCCCATGGATCTAGTCTGATATTGCACTGTGTTTTTCAGCAGTATGTTCTCACCCTGATGGTGTTGGGATCTGAGGCCCTACCTGGAGCTCCATGACAGCTCCACTCCTCCTTTCACAGCTTTGTCCTGCTCACCTGAAACCTGAGGGGCTCGAAGCCAATGTACTCATCGTTGGGAATGATGGACGAGATCACCTGCCAGAGGACAAAGTCATGACTGAGTCCAGGCTGGATGAAGAGACTCAAACTTCATGCAAGGTTAGCTACTCAGACCTATTTCCTTCTGATGTCCTAAGGTCAGGCATAGAGTCACACACACAAAAAGCAGAGGTGGATTTCTCAAAACAGCCTCAACTGCTTCTGTCCCTCTTTTCCAGTCTTCCCAAGGTCTCTTTAAAGTATGTGTATGAATGACTTTCCCTTTCCTTCATTCAGGTTGGAGCTCTCTGGCCTGTGGCACTTCTGCTGGCTGCACTGGTGGCAGAAGGGCTCACAGAAGTTCTCTCTGACTTGTGGTGCAGGATGTGACACAGCATTTGTCTCCAGGTGCCTGCCTGTCCCCCCGGGAATGTAGCAGTGAGCAGGAGCCTGCTGGAGGAATGTGCTCCTCTGGAAAATGTCACTGTCAGCACAAAGACAACCATGGGGTTCCCTACGTACCTGATCAGCTTTTTCAGAGTTTTAAGTGACTGGGAAAGTTTTTTAGCACCAAAGTACATTTTTTGAAGGAAGAGGTGGCAATTCTAACAAATCTTGGCTTCTGTGTCTCACATGCCTTGACTGGCTGCAAGCCCTGACAATCCTGCTCTTGGGTTTCCACCAGCACAGTGGCCAGCAGCAGTGCTCTCTGGAGATGTCAGAAGGTGATATTTTAATTTGCTTCCTGTTCATCTTAATGACTACGTGCCAGTTACCTTGGGTTTACCCAGGAAATCTTTTGAATCCAGCTGTTCAACTTCCTTCTTTCGTGGTCTGAAAAATTCCCCAAGAGGAACGTGCATGGGCTCTAAAACCAGGCAGTTCTAGGGAAACAGATAAGGGAAAGCCTTTGATTAATATTAAATGAAACAGAACAGCAGTAAAAAGCAAATCTAGCTTCCCCATGTGTGCAAGATCAGCTCCAGGAAGATGTTGAGGCAAAAATTTTGCCTATGAACTTGAAAAAGGTCACTGCTGTTAAAGAAGCACATGCAAACTAAGAGCTCAGCAGCCACTACCCAGTGCTGAGTCAAAGGCTAACACTGTTGGCATGGGAAGGGAGGGCAGTGGAGCAAGGTTTATTAAACAAATCTTCTAGGCAGTTCTATTTGACTTTAAATATTGTTTTTTTCTCTTCTGTTCAACCACTGAGTAGCATGCTAACAGCAAATACTAATAATACAGCAGTGCAAAGCATGAACATGATGCTAGAAGATCTGATCAGGTTTTTTGCAAAGTGATCATCTCTTTGAAGGGATACAAATGAGATAAGGAAGTACAGAGGTAGCAAAATAATGAACCTTCCAGGAAGAGTAAATCAGAGATTTGCATCTTGTTTCTGACCATAAAAGACTCTAACAGGAAACTATTATTTAGGACCAACTTTGGGAACACTTTTACAGTCTACGTAAGCTCTAAATGTGATGGTCATTAATATCTGAGCTGCCACCAACTGTTCCTGAGGCCAAAGGGACTCAAAAAAAGTCAGCCAGTGTCATGAGAAAGGAGACCCTCCAAATCTGCACTTGTAGGGGTTCTGCACTTAAACACTGCATAAGGCACCTTGTTTTACAGTACAAGTACAAACAGAACTAAGCTCCTGAAGAGCAGGGACTAGAGAGCAACCTCCCCAACCTGAGAGGTTACACCAACATTCTTCACTCTGCTGTGAAGACCTGAGGGTGATGGAGTTCCTTGATCAGCTGAAGCACTAGTTTGGTAGAGCATCCCATACAAATGGCTTACACTCTGTTACCAGGTGGCCAAGCAGGTGGGTAGACAAGAAAACCCAAACACACAACAACGGATACATTCTCCTCTTGTATTTCTTAACCAAAGCCCAGTGCACAGCCCCAGGAACTGGCAGAGGTGTCTTACCTGCACCCGCTCCAGGGCCAGGTCCAGGATTGCTGTTCTTCCTTCAGGTCTCCACACAACAGCCTTCTCCAGGGTGACTCTGGCCTCCTGCCACTGCTGGAGCTGGCACTGCACTGCTGCAGTGCTGTACAGCACCTGGAGTGGGCAAGGAGGGAGCAGAACTCAGGGGGCTGAGACCAAGCAGACACCCAACACGACTTACTGAACTCAGCCAAGAAACAGGGACCAGGCCCCGAAACACCAGAGACAGCACCAGCAGCAGCCTGCTCCCCAGGGGCCACAGGGAAGGGGCTCGGAGCAGCACAGCCAAAAAGCCTCCCCACAGAGTGGGAAGAGATGAAAGCTGTAGCTGCAGGCTGGCTCCTGGGCGTGCTGGGGCTGCCAGCCCTGCTCAAGGCAGGAGAGGCAATGGGGATGCCACCTGAAGATTTGATCCCATACAAGTCTTTTATCCTTCTTGCACCTGAAAGGCCATAGAGGATTTTCTTGTCTCTCTCTCTACAGGGAATGTTTTTTGCAGTGACTCCCTTTCAGTGCTAAGTAACTGAAACTGTTTCATGTTGCAGCAGGCTGTGACTGTGCCAAGGGTCAGCTGCAGCTTGCTGCCCTTCAGCAGCACATCAGGCTGCTCAGCAAAGTGACAAAGTGTGGGAGTATTCCAGGCACTGGGAAGCCTTGATCCATATGCTGAATTAAGAGTGGGAGACCTCATCCTGTCAGCAGGTGGAAGAGCCACCAGCCTACAAGGCAGGAGCGTGGCCTGAGAGGGATACCAGCTTTGTGGTACCTGGCTCCAAGCAGTGCCTGGGACAGAGGTGCAGCTCATGGGATGCTTCTCCTTTACTCCTAAATCATGACAGTAGAAGATTGTCATTGGGGGGTGGTGGGGAGCGACAATCCTGAACACTGACAGGAACTGCAGAGATGCTCCCTCTTGCAGAGGCAAGGCAGCAGCTCTCCCTCAGCTCACAAGAGCTACAGCCTCCCAAGAGGCAAATACTTGGGATTCTCAAGGCATAGAGCATGTCTCCCCAGAGAAGGGCAGATGCAGCAGGTGAGGGGCCGTGCATGGGGAAAGCTGATGGCACAGCTCTGCAGGATTATGTTTGTGCACTCTGAAAAAAGAGCTGCAGGTAGATGTAAGACTGAAGCACAGCTGAACTAGGATGCAGGTCGGGAGTGCCAGCACTGAGAGCTCACCTCCTGGCCATGCCTAGAGCAGGTGGAGTGAGGGGTGTCAGGGTAGCAACCTCCTCCGACGGCCTCGGGGCAGCTCTGCAGCCCTCAAAGGCAACCTACTCTTTCTAGGTGTGTGAGCTCAGACAGGGCAGTGCTGTGGCACAGAAACTGTTAAACCAAGGAGGCTTGGGTCATACCACAGATGCCAAGGATAGCTTCTTCCTGCCAGGCATAAGGTGCCTGAAAACTGGCCAAGACTGAATGACGGGTTTCTGGGCATGCTTGACTTGAGTTACACAATGACTCCTCACTCTCCCCAGGTAAGACTCTTTCCTGTAGCTGCTTTTCAGTCTGTGTGTGTGGACTGAGGACAGAAGATAAAACAGACCCTCACAGGTGTCTTTTACATCCCAAATGTGACAGTGAATTCAGACTTGGAGAATTTTTGAACAGGATGTGGCAGATTGACTCCATGTACCAGCCTAAGGGCTGCAGAGGGAAGTGTTAGAGGAGCAGAGCACAGCTCGCAGCCCAGAGGGGATGCTGAGACACAGAGGAATGCTAAAAACAGGTGCTACAGTTAGAAAGAGGATTTCACACACCCAGGTTTCTTATCGAGTCATCACAGTGGAGCAGCTTTTCCCCCCATTTTTTTCAACCTATTTCAGCTTCTAGAGCTGAGGAGTTCACAAAGCTCACGTGCATATTTACACACATTTGAGTATAAATATTACATGCACAGATAAGCTAAAACCCCCAATACACAGATTCCTGTGCATCTGCTCTGAACGATTTCATTTTCCAAGCTGCATCATTTGCTAAACCCTTCAGAGATGACATCTTTTTATGACTTTATGATTAAGTTCCTTTAAAAAAAAAAAGAGTGGAAGCAGAAATCTTCAACTGTTCCAGTGTCCTGTCTTGGGAAGCTCTCAGGTTACAAATGCCTGCTGCTGAGGAGCTGCTGAACACCCCCAGAGGGGAAGGACTGCTGAGACAGGGTGACTCTCACCTCCCATGCATAGAGGATGTACCTCAGCCCCAGCTGCTTGTAATCGATGAAGGGATTTTTTCTCAGGTGCCTGAAGGCCATTTGGTAGTCAGAGAGAGCTTCTTCATACCTACAATGCAGAGGTGACAGAAGAAACAGAGACTAAAAAAGCTGAAGGCTTTAATTAATAAGCTCAAAAATCAATCAATCAAACCCCCCCGTAATCTTCTCCACAGCCTGGATGAGGAGAGTTGCACCAGGATGTGTGTCAGCTTGTGACCTGAGAAAATTCCCTGTCCCCTCCTTGTTGGCAGTTGGTACAAAGTGAACCCGTGTGTCTCCTCTGGGATTATCTGCACTGTTTGACTGATTCAGCAGGTTTTGACACCTGAAATAGTTGCAATTCCAGGGACGAGAGAATGTAAAGAACAAAGACTGACAAAGCCGTGAGCCCCTTGCCCAGGCTGCTGCTGCAGTCTTGCCCCAGCAGATGGGAGAAGTGAGGGCTGGGAAGCCCCTGCTGATGCTGAGCAGTGAGGGCACACACATGGCCAGAGCAATGCAAGCAGAAATTCAGAGAAACTCGAAGGATAAGGAAGGAATCAGTCTGAATTTACACCAGCTATGCAACAGGCTCCCACTGAGGCTGCAGGTGAAGGGTGCAGGGAGGGCTGTGCAGCCACTACCCAACCAAGAGCCAGTGAGCACAGCCAAGAGAAGCTGCCTGGATGGATGTGGGTGGGTAGGTGGGAGCAGCAGCTGATGAGGGAAAGATCCATGGGGTGTGGAAATGTATGGAAAATAAGAGAAAAATAACAGGAAAGAGAATAGCTGAACTTTGAAGGGATCTGTAGCATCCTCCACCCACCTCCCTGAGCAGGATGTCACTGTGATTTAACCAGGGAAACAATGAGTGATCAATCCCACGACACTAGTGGAGCAATCCCAACATTAAATCACTGAGGCTGGGATCAGACACCATGGGCAGATTGCATTGTTAGGAGTGCCAGACTCACGGGTGCAATGTGGAGATACACAAAGCAGTGCAATTTTATTTTCTTCATTCCCAGAGAAAATCTGAATGGCAACATAACCTCCTGGTAGCCCTGCACACAGAGGCAGCTTCTTCCTCTGCCTGTACAGGACAGGAATGTCATGTATTAGCCAGCCCTGAGGCCCTGGAGTTGTGCAGCTCCTGTTGTGGAGTTCTCAGCCCTATCAGAGATAAGACTTGCTGACCTGTGACACGGTTTCAAGGCCAAACTGGACCTTATGAACTGTTTAAGAATGCTGCAAGCAGTGAATTTTAGTCACAGAATCGTTTAGGTTTAGGAATAAAGTATGACTGAAAAGAGAACACCAAAGACTCAGCCCTGTGCCTCGCTTACATTTCCAGCTGCAGATGCACAAAGCCCCTCTGGAAGAAGCCAACAGCCAGGGAGTTGTCCTTTGCTACCGTTTGATCGAATGCCTGAGGAGAAAAACAAACACAGCCCAAGGATCAGTCAGGATCTCTCCTGTCCTGGGCATGGGCACCCATCCAGCCACGTCCAAGCTGCCCCTGCAGGGGGTGCAGGAGCCAGCCCTGGGCTCCAGCTCCTCTGGACCAACAAGAGCAGGGCCACCACCCGGGCTGAGGGCTAGGAGACAGCTCCAAGCCACCCTTCAGGTCTTGGCTCTGGATAAGCTGAGCTTCAGGTTTTTATCCTTGCTTGGTGAAATGGGCTGGACATAAATGAACTCCACTGGCCACCTGGCCTCTTGTCATGGGAACACGGTGTCGCCTGGAGCAGAGCTTGCCCTGACAGTGGGCACTGGGACTAGCTAGCCTGGGGAAGGCTGTTTGAAGTACTTGAAAGGGTGCAAGGGAGAAAGCTGAAGGGCTTCACACAACACACCTGTCAGTCAGTACTTCTGGTCCAGTTTCACAGCTAAATACAGGCTGGTATTAGCAAAGCTGGTAGCAGTTCCTGGCTGATGGTTCAGAGTAGCACTGTGCTGGGAAAACTGTCTTAAAGTCCTTCTGAGTGAGCTGGGAGCTGTGCTCCTGCACTTACCCCTGCAGAGATGGGATGTAGACAACAAACTGAGCCTGAAACCTCAGACTTTCCTGATACTGCCTAGGCAGGGACAGCACTGCAGGGTGAAAATATGCTACAGGTCAGGGAGTGCCTGTGCCTCCTGGCGAGGTGGCTGCTGGCTTCCCCCATGACTCCCAGAGCACACCTTGCTTTAACAGCCTGCTTTACTGTGCTGTAAAGGAGAGAAAATAAACAGCCAACCACTGATCTACACGGAAGTATAGCTGAGCTTCTTCCCAGTCAGTGCCCATTCATGGGGGCTAGAAAGGGTCTCTTGGTTGTCTCTTCTAGCAACTGCTCTGCCCTGGCCCCTCCAGCACAGCCTGAACTCTTTTTTTATGCTATTTAAGAAGCATTTTATATGCATCTCATCCAGCAGACAGGCAGATGTGCAGACACGCTAGGTGCTGTAATAAAAAGGCTTTTCCACAGCACACTTGCCTGCCTGAACCAGTGCAGGCAGCTGCTCTTAACAACGGGATGTGAGGAGCTTAAAGGTCTTTCCAACCTAAATGACTCTATGAATCTCCCTTTCCAAAGGGCACTGGGTTTCCAGCATAGTGGTTTCCTTTTGGCAGCCTCAGCCACTCCTGCAGGACTGTCTGAGGACACAAGTGGCTGCAGGGCTCCGTGTTCTCCCTCCATCACCACTCACATTTGTGCTATTAGCCAGAAGTACAGGGTGAGAAATGCTGGGTTTTAATTAGTTTCAATTTTAATTAGTCAGCATTATGCCCTCAAAAATCAAAATGGGAAAGTTACAGAACCATAGGATCAGAGAATGGTTTGGGTTGAAGGGGGCTTTAAAGACCCTCTAGTTCCAACCCCCCTGCCAGGTGGGGGGAACACCTCACACCAGACCAGTTTGCTCAGAGCCCCATCCAGCCTGGCCTTGAACACTCCCAGGGAGAGGACATGACAAGTTTCCTGGGCAACCTGTGCCAATGTCTCACCACCCTCTCAGTAAAGAGTTTTTTCCTTATATCTAAGGTAAGTCTACCCTCTTTCAGTCTGAAACTGT